ACGAAAACCACAAAGTCCATCTTTGGTCTCCACCACCATTTCCCTATGACCCTCTGCACCCCCTCCGCATGTATACTATGATACAACGATTGCTGTAACGCTATCGAACGATCTCAAATACGACCGCGGCTGGTGCGTGTGTGGTGTCCAACAATTCACACGCCGAGTCCGCACCATCACACGCACCCTATCGCTGCCGAATTTATTGTTGTGGCGATGTCATGGCGCGTTGTAAGCTTGAAATCACGGTCATAGATAATAGATCGCCATCGACGAGGCCGCGATAATTATGCGAAGCTATCGAGTCGCCGACTAGACGAAAACGGTTATTGTTTGGTTTTTATATCATCTAATAATGTGACATCATCGTAGTAGTTCGTTCATCAATATTTCATTGAAGTTAATAAATTATAATTTTTTTTTTATTATTATTGGAAGTCTGCAGCCCGAAGACGCCATACGCGTGTTGTACAATACGTCATCTCGATTTCTGCAGTATCTGTGGCGGGGGCTGTTGCCGTTGTTACATTATCATAATTTACAATATTATTTTCATCTGTATCGTAAGGAATCTGAGTAGTTCGTGCTCCATCAATTGTGTAGTCATCTGATATTAATTATATAATATAACACATAGTATTTCTATGATTGTGTAGTATAAAAGAAGGTTTTTGTATTTTCCTTTCATCAACTTACGCGGACTGTCAGTTGTAATCAAATATTTACTATGAAACAAATATAAAAATATTGTTTACTATCCAGTGTCATTATATTTATCGTAAAAAGAAGAATATTTTTCATTGCTGCATTATGTCTATATCATGGTTACATTTATTTAAACAAAAATTGTAAGACGGCGTGTTGTATAGGCAATTCAGGTACATGTCCATGGGCGCGTAGTGCTGGGATGACATAATATTTTTGTTCTGACGTTTTGTTGTAGTCCACATAATATCAACCTAATTTCGTAATATTTAATATAATATATCATTAATCATTATGTTACCATTTTTTGAAATCATGGGTCAGATTTCATGTCTATGATTTAACCACTAAACGTTTTAGGCAATTATAACAGCCATAAGAATGTGTCTTAAATATTTTTAACAGATTATGCATTTTATTTGGGAATATTATAAACAATAATGCAACAGTAATAAGTTGATTAACACATTTTTCAAAATTCAATCGTTTTAAAACATCGTGTACAATGATGTTATAATATATTCCTATATAATCTCTAAGCTGAAGATATAAACAAATGGTATGCTATTAAAATTATTCCACACTTTGACGGTATAATACTAATCTTTCTGGAATTTAAGACATTAATAATATGGCTTAGTATACATTTACCATTAGTAGAATAATGCAATTGAATTACAAATGTATTAATATATTACTCTGTACGTAGTATTACATCCACATACTATTTATGTAATCTTTTTTGCCATCATAACTGATAAAAAATTATTATTTTTTATTATTTTGATACCACTATAACGCAAATAAGATTATAATTAATGTTGTAGTCACCCAATTACAGCATACGTCTTATATTTCCTAACAACATCATTCAGAACGGAGTTCATTAAACCAAAGGGAGTAAGTATGACACTTACTCCATCATTACTTGAGAGTAGAGACCAGTCTCGTATGTGTTTTACAACTTTTTATACTTGTTCTTTTTTCCAACCATTAAGACATTTGTTTTTTTCCTCCAATTTTAAAATTTCTCACATAAAAACTATGCATATCCTTTATAAATATAATATAGTCTTATATTCGAGACAACGCACATCATCATATATTAATTATACTTAAAAATAATGTACTGTTTTATGAAACATATCATAATATGGGAATACAATATATCATAAACTCACACAATATTATACATTTTAGTTCTAAACGTAAATTAAACTTTTTTTTAATGAAGTTTTTAATTACCGGTATTATGACACGTTTTGTTATTTAGTTATATCATGTGCTTACCCAATAATAGATGGCATACAATTAATCTAAACTAAGTGTTTTAATGAAGTACCTACGAATACATTTTATAATATCTCTGTACACTATTTTAAATACATAAAATTAATTTGTAATCTTGTACTTCATAATAGCAACGTTATATTCATTCCTGTCAATTGTTTCTACGAAGATATTGGTCCAACAACAATAATTATAATTATATTTGTTAACTTCTTCCAATAAATGGATTTTTTTGGTACGATATTAATATATTATGTATAATATTTATTTTATAAAAATAAATTTATAGATTAACGCAAAACAGCTTAGTATAAAATATATTGTAGTAAATAGTTTTATAACTAGATTATCAGTTTTCGATTATGAATACAACAATATACATATATATTTTTATGGCTGTATCTACATAATAATGAAAACAAAATAATAATAACGTAACAACGCAATAACATTGTTTAAAATTGCGTGCAAGTGTTTTTGAAATTTTTATTTGATATCAATGTAAATTTAATATTGTGTCGTCCGTCGTTTAGTGGGATTTTGTGCATTATTATCAGGAAATACGAGTGTTGTACAGAGTTTATAATATTACCCACTGTGACTTCGTGTAAAATTAGTGTATATAATTTATGTCAACATTAATTTACGTTTAAAATAGAGAGTATTAATTATTATTCAATGAGATCATCATAAGCATATCAATACACACGTGCATGGTCGAAACTAATATTCCATTTAGTGACATAAGCATGTCCTTGTTATGATATTATTAAGGGCAGCAGTAGAATGTAATTCAATTACCTGTATAGTGTTTAATCCGTTTGCCAGATCGTTTATACATAATCGTGATAACTACAGCAATAATTAGGATAAGCCCCGCGGTAGAATCATAATAATCCGAAAATTAATTCGTTTACCGAAGCTGCGCTCGTCATAGTCTCATTTCGATTGGCGCAGAGAACGAATCCATCTACTTATAGGTACTACTCGTATATTATGTAAATACGAGGTACATGTACATAATATAGGAACAAACCGACTTTTAATAACACAATAGATTTTTAGGAGCAAACACTTTCTGATAATGTATTATATACACCGACACACAAATTGTATACATGAAAATTCACCAAGCACGTTTTCTTAGGTTATACAATAAATTATATATTTTTTAAAATTCAGATACGTATTTGAAAATGTATTCGGAAAAATATTTTCAAACTTTAACCACATTTTACTGTGAATTGTTAAGCAGATGATTTTTATTCTATACATTAATATTATTTAACTAACATTTTAAGATTAACATCACATATTGCATCTGAATCATGTCCTTAACCTTTTACAAAGTTAAAGGTGGTTTTTATTTGAAAACATCAGTTTGTTTACCAACACAAGATATCGTTTAATAATAAAAAAAACTGTATGTATTTATTGTAAATAATAATTCGGGCCTTTCAGTATTTTTGAAATCTCCAAAAGGGTATCGATGCTTTATATATTATTACATGAATACATGATATGGATACAATTTAAAAAAAATTCAATTTTCATATATTAAATGCATAATACATAAGAGAATATTTTTGATTATTTCTTTAACGTTTTAAGAGCATAATATTATGGGAAGTGTATATTTCAAAAATATTTTGATGCTTAGTTGTATAATATTACTAGCTGAATTACTCGGCTTTGCCCGGAAAAACTACTTTTAGGTGTAAAACACTGTGGAAGCGAAGTCTCTTTAAGTATAAATGATATCATTTTTTAATATGTAGCCAAAATATAAGCATATATGAGCCTCAATTACGAGCAAATGTCGTAAAATACGTCTGTAACAACTGGTAACGGTTTCAACTGTACAGTATGATGCCGTGTGGTAATATTTACAGAAATATTACCTAATATCATCCTCACATGTCCCTTCATACCATGTATGCCACACCTTGTGAAATTCACGCTGCTTCTGAAATATACCCGTACCATTTAGTGTTATGCATGTGATAGGACAGCGAATAAAAAACATGAACCGTCTCCCTCCACAGGCAGAGCACTGTGAGGTACCATGACACCGCAAACGTCGATGAGCAGATGAGCTCCATGTTTATGGGCACCGTATATTACAACAACAATTATAATAAAATAATATATACAATTATAATTGTAAATATTTATGATGTTGGAATGTGTCACGCGTGTCCGAACTGCTGGTAGTACGGCCAGCAAATGAAATTAATATTTGTTCGCGTGCACATAAGAATGTATATTGTATAGACACAGTGGCAAGGCAATAATAGAGAGATAACTCATAAATAGAATTTGTATGTGTATTGGTTTATGTTATCGGTGTGCGTTTTATCGTTCGGTGATCATTATAATATAATAGGAGTATAATATTATATTGGTTTATTAATGCCGGGTTGCATGAAAAAGTTATTAATTTAACGGCCCAAAAAAATGTAATGGACCAATCACGGGCCGCTAAACCATGTTTAAGGGATCATTAGCTAACTATTGATTCGTTAAATGTTTAGCGATTGTTCATGCAATCCGGCATAAGTATATATTAGTGTACTCGCGATGCATGAGATTATTTTTATCGATAAACTTCTCGGAACAATTCTTATTGTACAAACAGGATAGGTTGCAGGTAGTTGGAAACCAGCGGGCCGCCATGAGCCCGTGCAGCGCAGCACACTTATTGGCCATGAATAATTATAATTGTTAATTACTCCACTGAAACGCAACAATTTTGAAAATCCTTTCTTATTGTACGGTGAAAATATGAGAACAACTTCTATTCCAAATTTCAAGTTTGTACTTTGCGCGGTTTTTGAGTTAGAGCGATCAGTAACTAAGTGGTATTTGGATTTTATATGTATAGATTATAAGTTTTTTTTTGTGCATACAAACCTGGACTTCAATTGTAATGATGTCGAGTACAATATAATTCATTCTTGATTTATTACGATTATATACGATTCGCATGTTTGGTTGTGTTACAGGCTTGGAATGATTACAAATTGCAATGGGACCCGAAGGAGTATGGCGGCGTGCAAATGCTCCACGTGCCTTCCGATCACATTTGGCGGCCGGATATCGTGCTCTATAACAAGTGAGCGTGTTTACAGTATTTCGAATTGGCGCGCGTTCACCCCAAAAAATTTGTCTCCTCACTGTTCAAACTTAACAATAATAATAATAATAATAATAATATAATAAATTATTATTACTATTATTAATATTATGTGAACCTTTCTTTTTATGCTCCCACACACACACACACACACACACACACACACACACACACACACACACCACACACACCACACACACCACACACATAATGCACATGGCGTATAATATGCAGTACGCGTAATACTCACGCCCACTCGACCAATTGCTACCGTCTAGCCCTCTGTTTGCTGCGCGTAATAAATATATTTTCCAATTAATTATGTCACTATGTGTAATATTATGTTTACTAACACTACAATAAAATAATTTATATATATTGTGTACTTCCTGCTAATAATATTACATGAGTACATTATATATTATATATATTGCTACTACTACTACTACTACTACTACTACTACTACTACTACTACTACTACTACTACTAGGTACTGATACGGTTACAATGGTTATGGTTATCAATAAATTGCCAATCCACGTAGTGCGTATATAATATAATAAGCATATTATGATTTATAATAAAATGAAATAAATATTTATATTGCACATGGTGTATATGTTACGACTTGTGTGTAATACAAGAACGAAAAAAAATATGTTCCCTTAAGTGTGTGTTTGTGTTTTTTTTTTTTGTGGAGTTTTGTTGGTCTCGCCAACCCAACCGTCACTGTCGATGATCACTAGAGTTAGGATGTTGATGACTTTTGCATTTTTTTTCCTTTTATTCTATACAATGCTATCCTAGCTAAAAATTTGTTTCATGCTCCCTTGATGCAGAATATTCTAATTTTATTTTGCAATTTTTTGCATTTTTTGCATTTTCAACTATAAATGCATTTTTTTTGTTTTTTAAGTCATTTTTTCATCTTTTACAGCATTTTTTACAAATTATAGATTTTAGGGCAAATGTTACACCCAAGTTTGGAAACAAATTTAATTTATTTAAAATCTAACTTTGGATTTGGACTATTAGTAAAAAATAATTTTAATATTATTATTGTGGGGTTTTTGTTGTGATTACATTTATCGCGTTCCGATAAGATTTACTCTTTGAGTGTTATATATTGAATTATTTAAATGCTTAATATATTTATAATTCATATTTTAAATTACTATTACACCCATTATTATACCCATATCTCTAATACAAATTATTATTTATAAATAAGTTTTTTCACTTACTTAATTAGTATTTTAGATAATTTTTAAGGTCATTTTTTGAAATTTTCAGAGCATTTTTGCACTTTTTTTAGGGTTTTTTGCAGTTTTTTTTAGGGCATTTTTGTGTGTTTTTTAGGTCATCAACATCCTAACTCTAATGATCACAATGCGTGTGTGTGCGCATTTCTCTCCGTGGACGACAAATGGAATGAGTTCCATGAAAACATTAGAATACATTTTAATGTTATTTTCATACAGTTTATTATTATACCAATTCTGTACAATATTGCTACAGGTGCAATTGAATAACCATAGGTAGATACCACATTAAAAAATATGACATATAATAAGTAGGTATTGTATTAAAGTGTAATAATTATACGTAATTGAGCGTACGAATCTGCCAACACCACCACCACCACCACCAACAACAACCACCAAGGCACGGTGCAGATCGAAACTATTTAATAATATATAGTAAAGATGTATATATAATATGTATAATGAAATATTATTTTTTAGAGTATTATTTTATTTAATGTACCTAGTTTGGATATTTAAACTCAACCAACGATAATAATAATAGGTATCGTATTTACAAAAAACGAAACGATGAATAATTGTATACCTATTTATTTTATTAAATGTATATATTACTAAATTTCGTGTATCAAGTTCGTGTCTAGTACATATTAAAATACTGTATAGAATAATAGACGATAAAATTCAATAGGTTTGAAAACTAATTTTTTTATAGCTTCAAATATAGTCGAATGAAATATTGATAGACTCGTGTACGATATAAATACTAAAGTGTTATGCTCTGTAAATGTTGGATCCTCGAATAATATTCTTTTGAAGTCGCTTTTGTTTTATTTCCACCTCCAATAAGTAATAACCATGTATTACACGTTTTTACATGTTATATTTGAAAGGAATACAAGTCAGATTTTTATAACGTAGATCTTAATAATATTTCATAAATTCTATATACTATCCAAAATAATCATGCAATATACATTTAAAAATTAGTTAGAAACTACCTAGTAAATGATAGAATAATCTAAAAAACCAAACCAAGCACTGGATCCGCCATTGTGTATACGCGTATTAAATATTTATTTTATAGTAAAATAACCTATTATTATAATTAAAAATGACTGTACAAAAAAGATCAATTGACCAACGCTTTCGGTTTCTATATTAGACCAATATTATTTTATTATTTACAATATTAAAACCAATAATTGACGTTGGTAGACGACCTTTGCGGCTACACACAGTCACGCGGGATTTCGGGATCATTGACAAATTTCAATAATTAATTTCCCATGGGTATTGGTTTAATACCCGATAAGCCATTGACCCACATTTACACAAATAACTACTATTATCAAAATACAATCCGCCATTTACTACCGGTACTGACACTGCACACTGCAGAGCACTGCGCTAAATGTCTAAATGACAAAGAAATAAAAAATGTCTAGACTTCTAGTATGTTCATGATAGCGGTTCCGTAAGATACAAACGGTTACGATGAACGCCAGTATTTGATATGATGCATAGGCACAGCCACTACCCGTAAGTGAAAGTAAATGTTGAGGAAAATCATGCGTACGTTATAAGATAATATTGTTTAGTGATTTGAGATTTCCATAAACGCTTTTACACAGACGCTCTTAGGAAACGTTTACATTAACATAACTGACTACGTGCTATATATATATATTATTATTATTGTTTATTATCATTACTAAGTATATAAACGCATTGTTCGATGTATTTGATGGAAGGCTTTGATAGTGTTTTGTGTGCAGCAATCAATTCAAACAATACGCATTAGGCGTATGGTTTATTATCTTAAAAGCTACAATATCGTCGTACACTTAATACATAGTTGTTTACTCGTTTGTACATTATACGTAGATAAGTACCCATCACTGTTCTCTGAAATTTCCCGCCATTAATTTCATCATGCAAATTTTTGAAACTATGTGAGGAAAACCAAATTTAAATATTATATAATATATTATATTAAGAATTTTGATGACGGGTAATTTTAAGTCCATTCTATGAGATAGGTATTTTTATTTATTGCGCTATATAATATAATTAGTATGAAGAGACCCCTTTTCCTACCTAGTTGAGTTAAAACGCTGTACAACCGAAAGTTGTAATTTGTACATACTAGGAAGAGAGATAAGAAGTGCGTATTCCATCGGGAACCCGAGCACCACAGATAACAGCTGATCAACTTCCTTAAGAACTCAAATCTTGACAAATTATTGCATAAACCACGATATACCTACCTACGTCACTTATACATGTATAATAAAAAAATAGCTAACTAATGCATGTTAAATATAAAAAAAATAATGGCTGTCTATGTCGAGGCTGAAAAATAAAATTACGACTGCTAATCACAACACCAGCCTGATAAGTTATAATCTTAAACGTGGATGTTTCGTTAGATTTAACCTCCTGATATTATTCTTCTCAATTTATTGTTCAAGGGTCGAGGCACTTATTTGTATGAAGTTTATTGTTTACGCTTACTTTGTTTTACTTTTAAGACTACCCAGTGAAAAGTCGCACGCAATACAATTTACCAAACGAACTGACCACTCAAATAGACCGTACCAAGAAATAACAATTGTTAGGATAAAAACGTTATTGTAGTGAACACGCAACGTTAGATGTTTCCAATAGACAATTGTTATTGTTATTCCTATAAAAAGCCATTTTGTACAGTTTCCAAAATTTCAAAATGTTTTTATCGATCACAATACGACATTGGGCATGTGAATAAGGTTTTTCTCGAAAAAATATTCGGTCATAGGTATTAAATAAATATGACAATGCTTCAAAGAAGAAAAAAAAATATTTGGCATAGCTGATATTATGATAATGATTTGTCGTCATCGATATTACTGACCATTACTATACATTAACTCTACACGATTTTGTGAGCCGAGCATTTTCTAAAACAAAACTAAATGAAAACATATTTTTCGATAGAATTATAGAAAATTTATTGTTTCAAAAATGCCGGTCCCGGAAAAGATTTACGATACGCACATAATATTTCAGTTATGACACAACGGAGGATCCGAGGATTGTTATAAATTCTAATACAAGTAACATAATGATATATATCTTACGATATCAACAACCACCACCCCCGTTCGAAACAACGGCACGTATTTTATTTCGGACTTTTATACCGTGGTATAACGTCGACGCGCAGCAAATAGTGCGTGCCGAGTAGTGCACAGGAAAATTCGGGAAAACAGTGTGGGTATATATATATATATATATATATATTTACTTACACTATAGTACCATACAGGGTGATTTACAAGAATGCTCACCTCAAATTTTTAATACAACAATGAATAGATTAAAATTTGAATTTTAAAACTTTAAAATATATACGTATTAGAACATAATATTTTCAAATTATTGAGATTTGTTGTACTACTCAACTGGTGTTCTACTGTCCAGTGTAGAAAAAACCCTTGTTTTCAAATGAATACTCCTAATTAATCCGGTACACTAATGGATATACCTATACTTTTTTGAAAATGTTCATGTATCACCTTAATTAATAATGCGAACTAGTAGTTTGTCAGATATTCCAATTTTTATATTAAGGATGGTAGTCCTTAAAAATGGTTTTACAAAAATATAAAACAGTTGTAATATTGGATCTAGTATTTTTTATACTTGGACCATTTCCAAAAACACAAATG